GCAGACGAGCTCCGAGCCAGCTCCCATGTCAGAGGATGAAGAGAGCACATCCAGTTAGTCACAGTCAGAGAAACAGGACTACACTGGAAAAACAGGCAAATCTCCAACATCTATAAACAAAGGTGTTGATGGCAGCAGCACAGCTGATATTTCTCTCCAAGAAGACAGAGAATAGACAAAGTCCCCGGATGCTGTTCTCTTCCCTCCCTCTTTACCCAGCATGCATCGGAGCAGATTTGTCTGTTCTTGAGATTGACAGCTGTCCCAGCATGCACTGCTGCAGCAGCAGCTTCCAGGGGAGCGCTCACAGAGCTCAGAGTGTTAAAAGTTCTCTTTTCTGTTGCTTTTGTTCAGTAAAATACATTTTAAGATCATTTGAGGCGAGAATATTATACTTTAAAGCATCACTATATGGTCCATTTACCGATTTAATGCGTAATAAAAAAAAATGTTAAAAATCAGAAGTTTAGAGGACCACGGCAACCAGCGGACCTCTGAGGCTAACGGCAGCCAGGGCTAACCGCCACCGGTCTGCAGCAGCCCTCTCTTTGGGCATAGCCATGTGTGAAGGACCGCTGGCTCTGATGGCGATTTGTTCTGTTTTATTTGACAAAATGTTCATTTGATTTATGTTTATCTGACTGTGTTAATTATTATTCCCCCACTAAATGAAAAAAGTAAGGATGTATTATTTTCTAGAGACTATTAATAAGAGGAGGTGAAATGCAGCTCTAAATGAGCCGGGTATGTGGTGATGTCATCAGTACGCTTCTGTTCCAATTGACCCATATTTATGCTTTGTGCTCCCGTTCTCCCCAAGTCCACACTGTTCTGTGTTCTTCTCCAGAACATACTTGGACGCGGGTCAGTACTCGCGTTCTTGTGAATTGAGAAACGACCTAGAATGCAGTGAAAACATCTCAGGGAAGATGCAACATTTGATCTGAGGTTTTGTTTTCGTTCACCTCTTAATTTAAAGGAGGCTGGCGACGACCATGAGGTGCTTTACCGCCACCAACTGGTCAGGAGTGTAGCAGCTTTATCAGGCTGTCCACTCGTACTCGGAAATTTGTGATTCATGTATCTTTGTAACTTGTATTCTCACAGATTCAACATGATGTATGCCTTTTTTAGCTGAAAACAAGGATAAAAACATCTTAATTTATTCAAGTTGTGTCAAATTCCAACACTGACTAGGACTTTTACCTCATAGACTTATCTAAGCAGAGATTTATGCAGTTTATGCATTTAGAGCATAGTGTGCATTAAAGGCCAGGCTGCCCTGCAGCCTCATAACGGAGCAGATATCTGAGGCAAAGACGGCAGGCTGGATCCAAAGCTGATCAGTTATCTGATTCTGGATCATATCTCACCCGTCCTCTCGTGGTTTGCAGTTTAAAGAATTTCTTCGGTCTATGTAGTAATTGGTTTAACAGATGAACACAAAATAATAGAGGCTCTATTGTGGCCGTGAACATTTTTCCGTCTGTGACCTCTGGTCATTTTTTATCTCCATCAAACATAAGGATCTCAGACTGCCACAGTCACATTACTGAAATACTTGATCTTTACCTAAAGAGAAGTGACAGTAATGACCCTAAATCACATTAAAAGTTGTTTTCAAACCTTCCAGTAATTTCATAATTTCAGATCACAATCCCAAAGGAGCAGTGGAGTCTTCCTCTAAAATCCAATTAAATTCAGTCTATTTATTTAAAAACTATTTACAGCAAAGGTCAGCTGAAGTTTACCCTTAAAGTCTTTTTTTAAACCCCCCCCCCGCCAAAAAAAGGAGAAACTATTAAAAAAAGTTAGATTTCTGCTGATCTAATGGATGCATTTCAGACATTTGCTTGGGAAGTTCTGGTCCTGGAAGCCAAGAGTTAGCTATCCACTCGGTTCACACCTGTCAGCAGCTTCGAAATGTTTCAATCAAAGACAGAGAATACCTTTGGCCTCATTGGGTCGAGTTAATCAATAACTTCTGTCTTATCGACATTAAACCCAATTAAGTTATGCCTCCATCCACCCATGGATAACATGGACACACTAGTCTCATGACTGTAATGAGCTTTGGTCATGTGGCAGGAATAAAAAGCATAGCGTCATCAGTATAAAGTGAGAGGCGTTCGTAATTAAAACAGTGGCCTCAGAACAGTGCCTTGAGGAGCACCACATGTGGATTAATAATTACCGGATTAAAAAGACCTGAACCCATCCAGTAAACATGGACTCCTAAGTCTATTGGTGTCTCCACTGAGACCCAACAATACCAACGATTTAAGTGGATCCTGTCTGCTGGTGCGTCCGTTTAAAGCTTCTACTAAAGAGCTCTCAGTGTCCGAGTAGGAAAGCATTTCAAAGATCTTCCTACTGCAGCGTGCCTCAGAGGTCAGAATACAGAAATACTGGACTTGTGCGGATCTGAACCCTGCAGAAAACTGTTTCTAGAAACAGAAAAAGCCGTAAGAATAAAGACAGGAATAGGTCAGGATGAGTCAGGGTTTGGTCCAGATGTTAATGATCTGCTTCAATCAGAGCTAGAAGTTAGGAAGGAAGCAGGAGCAGGACTACAAATATTCACCTCTAACAGAAATCTGGTGGATTTGGGATTTAAAGCCTTTGAATATATTTATAGATGTTCTGCATCAAAGTAGGAATGTAAACAGGCTGGAGCCTCAGTGTCCCAAACATAAACTAAACAGAGCCTGAGAAGAGCGAGTTGAATTCTGCCGAGGTTATTCGAGGGCTGAACGGCGGGTTTGGGGATTTATCACGGCAGTCAGCCAGTCAGTCATCCATCAGTTGGAAGAAGGCCTGTCAGCCTCTCAGCTGTGTTTGTGGTTGTTTTGCTGTTTCCAGGTGTTTCAGCAGGAGCTTCCAGAGACCGTCCAGGACATTTGGGATCAGTTAACAGAGGAGCCCGACAGGGTGCCGGAGTCCAGCTGGAGATTGGCTTCTCCTAAATCCCTGGTGGACAACCTGTGCCACACCATGTACTGCCTTTTCTGGGACTGCTTTTCCAGCACAGAAGCTTCTCAGGACTGTGAGTTCTACACGGAAGATCTTTAAATCCTTCATCATCTTTCAGGTTGTACATCAAAGTCACTCGAGCGCATGAAAATGTTTCAGCAAATCAGCAATGACCTGAGTTCTTTATGAAACATGCATGTTTGCATGCTGATGTGTTGCATGTGGGGTTCGGGCTGAAGCGCCAAGCTGAGGTCCTCCTGCCCCTCACTCCGCCAGATGCATCCCTTCGTTATTCTTGTTTTGTTTTAGCTTTGCGATGTTGTGAAAGTGTCTCTGCAGCTTATAATCAAAGCAACATGATGCTTTGATGCTCCAGGTCGGGCCGCAGCCTCTGCCAGGCCATCTGGTCAGATGATGTGCCTTCAGGTTCCCATGAAGCCATGTTAATATGTAGCCTGACATCCTGGAAGCTGCCTTACACAGAACCATGTGCAGAGCCGCCACTGGAAGGTGTTTGTGAAAGACATGCAGGTGCTCTGAGGAAAATCCTCAGCAGGTGTTCTAGCGGACCATTCATCATCGCCAGTCATCAGCAAATCACATGCAATCACAGCAAACCAGACCTCCTGACAGGATAAAAACAGCAAGTTCCATGCAGCAGGATTCTGGGTTTAAGAGAGAAAGGTCCTCTTCGTGATCTTAGCCTTTTCATCTGAGGCCCAGACATGTGGTGTTATGAGGAAAATCCTGCAGCTCCGTTTTGTTCTTCACATAATCTCTATTTGGACCACGTAGGTAGGATTTGATAAGGACCAGTAAGAACACCTCCAGTTCCTGTAGCAGCAATATCAACTTCTCAATTTAATTCAGTTCAGTTTATTTCTATAGCACCAATTCACAACACATGTCATCTCATAGCACTTTACAGAGGCAATTATACCAGATCATACATTCAGATTGGTTCAAAGTTTTCTATCTAAGGAAAACCAGTTGTTTGCATCGACTCATTGACTCTTCGGTAATCCCTCACACCCAGCATGCTTTGAGTGGCAGTGGAGAGGAAAAGCTCCCTTTTAACTGGAAGAAACCTCCAGCAGAACCAGACTCAGTGTGAGCGGCCATCTGCTGAGGCCGACTGGGGTTCAAGGAGACAGAAGCAGACATAGAGGCAACTGTCAACCAGCTCCGCAGGCGGCAGAGTCCAGAAAAAAACACAGCTGGGAAGACAAGCTCCCTATATTTCTCTCCAGGATGCAGTCATAGCCAAACAGGAACAGACCAGATGAAGCTACTATGATGAGAAAAAAGGAGAGAGAGCATAAAGTTAGAGATTGAACTAACAAGTATTGCAGAATGGGAGAATATATATAGAATGAAGCAGAATAACGTCTTCCAGCAGTCTAAGCCTATAGCAGCATAACTACAGTTAAAGCTCCGGATAACCTGAGCCCCTCTAACTTTAAGCTTTATTGAAAGGGAAAGTTTTAAGCCTAGCCTTAAAAGTAGACAGGGTGTCTGCCTCACGGACTAAAACTGGTAGTTGGTTCCACAGGAGAGGAGCCTGATAACTAAAAGATCTGCCTCCCATTCTACTTTTAGAAATTCTAGGAACCACTAGTAAACCTGGAGCTTGAGGCCGCAGGGCTCTGTTAGGAACATAAGGAACAATCAGATCTCTGATATCAGATG